GAGTGGAGAAGCCAGGATTGAAATCTGTCTAGTTCCAAGCTTGCAAACATTCCCCTCCGCCATACTGCTCAGGTACACACAATGAAGGAGATTAAACATACTCAAGACATGATCCCAGATTCTAGTTGGTAAGACAAGGCAAAACAATGGACAAGTTAAATGATGATACAAAAGATAATAAAGAAACTGATGTGAGAAATGGAAAAATATCACAAGTTAGAATGTTCTCTAACTTGCATACAAAGTTCCCAAAACTTATTTGTCCATGAAACTTATCTTTGCATCATACTTATTAAAATCCCAAGTGATAATTGTTTTGAGAAATATAATTCAGAAAATGCTGGTCTAGTTTGTAGGTGTACTATGACTTTTAATTTAGAGGAGGAAGCTGCAGTGGTCTGGGTGGGCAGAAGAGAGAAGAGAGAATTAAGTTGTAAAAACAGTAAATATATTTCTTGAATCCAAATCCCAGAAATGCAAATTAACTAAGTCAATAATTTTTTTTTACTTTATCAAACTATTTTTTGAAAATACTTATTGAATATGTAGCACTTTCTATTTATTAATACATTTAATCTTCACAACATTCTTATGAGGTAGGCATTATTATTATGATTTCCATTTTATGAGGAGGGATCTAAGGCTCTGTGACCCAATAGCAAATCAAAGAGCCAGAGTTTGAACCCAGAAGGTCTGGCTCCAGAGCCAAAGCAACCAACCACTGTGGTAAACTTCCTCTCTAAAGCAGCTTCATTTTAAACTTCCTCTCTAAAGCAGCATTTCAGGTAATTCTGATACAGGCACAATAGTTTAGGGTTTGAGAAGGTAGCTGAGAGCTGAAAGCTGAATCTAGATAGTTGTTCTCAAACTTTAGCATGCATCAGAATCCCCTCAAGGGCTTGTTTACACAGAGATTACCAGCCCAATGCCCAAAGTTTCTCATTCAGTTGTTCGGGGTTTTCCCTCATTCAGTAGATCGGGGTAGTCTCAGAATGTGCATTGCCAACAAGTTCCCAGTTGAAGCTGATGCTGCTGATCAGACAACCGCATGCTGAGAACCACTGGTTTAGATGAGACAATGGAAAAATTTAAATATTGTGTAAAGGAATTTGGGTTTTATCTACGGAAAGGTGTGTGTGTATGTATGTGTGTGCACATGAGCACATGCATGTGTGGTTGTGTCTGTGTGTCTATGTGTGTCCGTGTTTTGTCTTTAATCTTTTGACTAGTGTAACATTACATAATAGAAAATTCAAAAATTACAGAGAGTATATGATAAAAGCAAGTCTCCCTGTTTATTCTATTCACCAGCCCCCACATTCCCCTCCCTAAAGCCGTGTACATTTCTAGTTTCTTATGTATCCTTCCATGATTAGGAAACAGAGGGAAAAATATTTCTTAGCATTCGGGTACCTAGAATAAACTTCATGTATTTTCTTGTTATGACAGTCTAGCAAGTAGACTACTGGAACTTGCCATCTAGGGTATTGACATCATATAGGCTAAACATCTGAATCAAAGAACTAGAGAATTTTAAATGTAGGTAGATACTATAAATGAGGAAACTAAGCCAACAGAGAGGTTTGATAACACACAGTGGGTGGCATAGCCATGGTTCACACCCATGTTGTTCGACTCCAAAGCCAGTGCTCCTTGCACTATCCCCCAGGAATTTGAGGCCCAATGAGAAGAAGGGACTTACCCAGCTTTGCTTAGTTACTTAAATTTCCTGATTCCCAGTCCAACAGTCTTTTTGTTTGACCATACTTTATAAGGGAATGACTTTTAAAAATTTCCATTCAGATTTTTGAGTTTTTATTGCTTTTGCCCAAGGATATGAAGCTAAGAAAGAGAAGATTTAGTATGCAGTTTCTCTTCCTCTGGAAGATCCTTTGCCTCTAGAGCAGTGGGACCCATTAAATTACAATATTACAAAATGTGTGACTTAACTATCATATATATTAAGAGGCATCATAGGTCAATTAACAGCTTAGGCTTGAAATCTGTTGACTTCTCTCAGCCTCAGTCTCTGTAACTGTTGATAGGGAGAGGGAGATAATCATACACATAGAATACTGTTTATTGGGGCTTTAACTCAATAGGAATGTGTGTAAAGCACCAAACATGGTATTTGGCAGAATGCGGGGAAAAAAAGTTATTTATTATTATTTTTCATTGTACATTCAATTTGTAGAGTGGCTAGAAATTCTAGGTACAAATTAAGGTCTGAGAACAAAAATAATCAATTTTACAAATCATTTTGCACAAAAATCATGGAATCCATTTGAACTGTGAAAAATGTTCAAAAATTAAGTCTTCTAGCAGTTTTTAATAGTTGGATTACTAAAAATGATCTAAGAAAATTCTAACATATTGAAATATTCTAAGTGCAGAATGAGAATATCACTACAGCTGGTCTTAACATTTCTAGGATTTTGGTGTCCAGAGTCCTAGGTAGCATGTTTCCTAATAAATGCAGACTATTCTCCTGTTTACAAAACACTTTCTGCATGTGCCCTAGGGTGCCATTAAATAAGATCATAATCAAATTTCACCTCTAGGCCTTGCACTAAACCTCTGATCTATCAATTCTGAATTCCCTAAGAAAAAAAAAGCTATCATTGTTATTGTTATTGTTATTTTTACCTCATATAGATTGCTTATTATGGTATATTATAAAATTTTAGATATTTAGTTTATTTTTTGCCATACATGCAAATTCAAAACATTTGTATGCAGGTGCTATCTTGAAGTGAGAACATAAGTTAGACAATGGTTCTTGTAATTTTATTGTACAAAACATGATGTGAGGGGTGCCTGGGTGGCTCAGTTGGTTAAGCAACTGCCTTCGGCTCAGGTCATGATCCTGGAGTCCCGGGATCGAGTCCCGCATTGGGCTCCCTGCTCAGCAGGGAGTCTGCTTCTCCCTCTGACCCTCTCATGCTCTCTCTCTCTATCTCATTCTCTCTCTCTCAAATAAATAAATAAAATCTTTAAAAAAAACATGATGTGATATAGAACAGATATCTTCAAACTTGTGGATCTTAGGACTGTTGACACTCTTAAAAATCATCAGTAACTCTAAAGAACATGTGTTTATATTGTGTATATATGTTATAATATGTGTTTATATATCTATTGGTATCTTTTATATTATAGATTAAAATAGGAGTTTTAAAAATAATTACTACCTGTTAAATAATAATAGTAAACCTATAACATGTTAAATAACATTTTTATTCAAAGTAACTATATTTTTCTAAACAAAAACATTTAGTGAAGAAAGTGACATTGTTTTTATTTTTGCAAATCTCTTCAATATTTGGCTTAATAGATGGTACTAGATCTCATATCTGCTTGTGCATTCAATCTGTTGTGATGTATTGTTTTGACTGAATTATATATAACAATTATATATATAGCAACAATTATATATATCCAGCCTCACATAGATATGTTGTTGGAAAAGAGAGGAATATTTCAATAGTCCTTTTGGATCATTATGATTTTTCTTTGATACTACACCAAAACTCAACAAGTGGCATTTTTTTAGGGGATAACTGCAATGTAGAGTCTGAAATTGTATCAATGAACTTTTCTTATTCTTCATACCAATACATTAAAATCAACTGGTCTAGGGTGCCTGGGTGGCTCAGTTGGTTAAGCGACTGCCTTCGGTTCAGGTCATGATCCTGGAGTCCCGGGATCGAGTCCCACATCGGGCTCCCTGCTCAGCAGGGAGTCTGCTTCTCCCTCTGACCCTCTTCCCTCTCGTGCTCTCTATCTCTCATTCTCTCTCTCTCAAATAAAAAAATAAAATCTTAAAAAAAAATAAAATAAAATCAACTGGTCTATTTTGCATTCTGAATGGGTCTTATACCCATGTCTGATTTTGTAATTCATGCATTGGTTATTTGGATATACTGCTTCACTGAGTTATACAGATTTTCCAGATGTTGACACATTTCATAACGTATTATCAACAAATTACATTAATTTATATCACACTAGTCTTATCAGAAAAGCCTGTAAGGATTGGGAAGTTGTCAAGGTCACAGTGGCATATAGGAATTTTCCAAAATTCCAATCTTTGCTTGAGAGCTCAAATTTTACTGTCAGCAACAAATACTGTTAGTTGTTTTCCTTGAAGCGATAAGCTCACTTTGTTCATTTTCGACAAAATGTCTGCCCAAAACCCAAGTTTAAATAACCAGTTTGTCAGTCATCTTTTTCTTAAAGACTATTTTTTTTAGAGTTGTCTTAGGTTCACAGCAAAATTGAGAAGGTATAGAGATTTCCCATACACTTCCCATTGGCTTCTTTCTGTTTCTTAGTTTTTTCACCAGTTTTTTTGTTTTTTGTTTTCTTTTATTTTAGTTCATTCCTCTAACACTTCCTTTTTATTTTCTCTGAAACAATAATGAAAGGAAGATAATGGCATTTATATATATATAAAAGAACATGAGCTTTTATGATAAGTTCTTAAAATTTATCCCTGTAAACCAGTAATCAACCTTGAACTGAATAGGCCCATTTATCTTTGATGAATCTTTTTCATACTTTCAAAGGCAAATAATTTTGTTTTTATAAATAACATTTATAGTACTATTATATAGTACTGCTACTATAAATAACAATTACTAAAAATAATGTGTAAATCACTTAGAGTGTAATGGTAACATTTACAAACTACAGAGCTTTATACAAATTGGTTTGATTTCATAAGACACATTCAAGTGAATGTCAAGCTGCTATGCAGTCAAAAATATCAAATTAATAGTATCTGGAAAATTATAGGCAATAACATAACTAATGATCCGGGTAATTGCTTTGCTTATGAAAGAATCATAGTTATTTCACATGATATTATGTAGTGTGTCAATGCAATGTTCAGATATAAAACTAAATTAAGATAGAAAATGTTTTGAAGTAAAAAAATTCAACATATCCTTTTGTTTCTGGCTCAGAGGGGCTGACAGATATGAAACTTTGGCACTTACTTTCCGATTGTGTTGGGTAGCATTGTAAGTTGATTGTCATCTACTTTTAGAGTAGTTAGTTTTTTCAACAGTCCTAAAACAGAGAAGAAGGTTTATTAATACATAAGAACAGATCTCTGGTAGGAAATACAATATGAAAGAAAAAGAATCACTTGTGATGACTGTCATGCCAATTGGCTACACTCTGCTTATATAAACCTACAAATATGTTTGTATGTAGTCTAGTCTTGACTGTCCAGTTGTAAAAACTTTACTTGCATCAGTGGGAGTTCGGGTACATCAACACAGACAAATAAACAAAACATAGGGCTCCATAGAAAGCTAAGTTGACAGCAACACTACCACATTTCCCTTATCTAGTATACCGCAAATGGACCAGATGAAAATTTTTAAGCCAGCTATGATTTAATATTTAATTAACTCCTAAGCACATGATTAACATAACATAATAAAATTTTAAAAAGGTAAAAACAACAACAACAACAACAAAACCCAAATCTGAAGTAAGCCTAATAATCAATGAATGGGTACTGAGGTATTGTGGTACAGTGGTTATAATTATGGACTTGAAAAATTACAACATATGACCTCATACTCTTTTTTGTTACCATAAATCCTTGACTTGGATCAGCAGAAAGCACAAAAATTGCAATTTTAATATACCGAGTAGAACTGGCCAAGAATAGTTTCAACTTTTTATATTTCCCTGTCAGATTTACACCTTCCATACACTTACTGCCTGCATTATTCCCAGGGTTTTAATGAGTAATAACCACAGAGTGATTGAAGAACAGATTCCTTTATCCAGCCACAATGTAGTATCAGTATGGCTTAAATAGCCAAAGTCCAAGGGCAAAGCGTGGTTAATTTTGGTTTTACATTGGAAATATGCATATATACTGTAGGCTACATTTTTTTTTTTTTTTTTTGCAGAAAACTTGTTCTCATGGATATAGTGGGTTCCATGGTCAAATGTGTTTGGGAAATGCTAAATTAAACAACATTAAACATATTTCATTAATGAAGTTTTTCTAGGACCTTGTAATATATTAATGTAGCAACGTGACTCTGCAAAGTTATTGCGGAATGTGTGTGAGTGTGCAGCGTACCTTGTACAGCTAGAGTTTTGTGAATATGCTTTGAGAAGCACTGCTGTGGGTCATGCCCACGCACCTCAAGTATTTTGAGGACTCCTTAAAGGCATAGAGTAAATCAGAATAGATCTGAAATAAAAAGCGATTATTGCACTTTAAATTTCAGTATGCTCAGTTACATATTCTGGAGAAGCACTCAGAATCTCTACTCTAGTGGCTAGAAAGGGTCTCACTGTCAGACTGCTGTGAGAAAATATCTACAAAATATCGGAGCTTTAATACATCAGCTTGTGTCCCGAAGATACCGTGCTGAAAAGAGTAGCACCTGGGAAAGAGGACAGTTCTCACTGGGGTCATTTATCTCTGAGGTTTGCTTACCCACTGCCATATTCACCTATGTTTAAGGGGTGACCGAATCACTTCAGCTTCTCTGGTGTGTATGTAAGAAATATCAACCTTGGAAATATAAAAAAGCTTGTTCATCAGTTGTGAAAAGAAAACAGGGCGTGATGCATTACAGCTAAATTTTGTATGACTTGGTAGCCCTTAACAAACTACTGCACCTGCCTACCAGTGGAGCTAGAGGAGGGTTGACAGTCTCAGTGTCACTTGAGTGGGGCATAAGAAGTTTTGCGCTGGGTCACAGATCGCTGTGCAAACACCATGAAGCCAGGTTGAAAGGTAGCCTTTAAGAGAATCACAGTACCAAAGTCTGAAAGTAGTGGTGAAAAGTCTTGAGGCATGTTAGGGACTAAAACCAAAGGGTTGTTCTTTTAAATGTTGGTAGTCCAATGATGTCCCAATAAAGAAGATAAGATACAATTTCCCATCCAATCAGAATCAATGAATTCTTTTAGGGCTTTAGAATAAAGCTCTCAGTCTCCTGTCCCAGATCCTTCTCTTGACCAAAAGGGGAATATTTGGAGCAAAGTCAGCCATTCCATATGTATAATCAGGGACTCTGGCAACTCTGCAGATGCATAAATGTAATTTTCTCTGAAAGGTCGACAGGGTCCAAAGATATAGTCTGAGGCGGCGTAAGCTACTATAACAAAGTTACTTTCCTAATTTGAAAGGCTTTCAGATTCTTAATGAAGGTGTTAAATACATAGTACCCTCCTCTCTATCCCAGTCAGCTTTATGCCGGCCAAGTACCGAATCTGATGTTTTCTATCACCCATCCATGTTGTCTTCCCCAGACCAGAAGGCTAATTTCCCCATCTGCTTTCTTAAAGGAAGATATTTTAAACAAATAATTATATTGTCTTTTATTTCACTATGTGCCATTTTCATTTCCAGGATTTCTAATTGTTTCTTTTTTTTTATAACCACCTATTCTTAGACATAGTTCTTGTTTTTGTTTTACAAGTTATTATTTTTATGAGTGTTATTTTAAGTTTTGTGTAATTGAGGAGCTACACATACATAAAAATCATTTTTTACATTGCTGGATGACTTTGTTTTTTCCTGGGTAAATTTTCCTATTTGAGTTTTTTGTTGTTGTTACAACATTAGTTTTCCTGTAAGATTTCTGTTTGCATGCTCATTTGTGAGGGTGAATATTTTCTCCATATCTATGCTCACCCATCCCTGTCTGGCAGTTTTATGGTTACCTACCCATGACCCCAGGTTTCTGGAGTTCAGAACCAGACCTCCTATTAGCAACATGGAGCTCTCATCCCATGTGGATAGTGCAGATCCAGTCCAAACTAGCTGTGACTTGCACAGTTTTCAGCAGCGCATCTATATTTGTTCTCTCCAATGCTAGCTCCACATACTAGTTGTAGATTGTTTCAGGCTCTCTTCGCAGAAAAGGAGTTGCTGCCTCAATCTCCTGTGGATTCTCCTGTTATGCTTAAGGTACTTTTTTTTTTCTTTTTTCCACTGCAGAAATGGAACTTACAGCTACCGCTGCTGTTTGTGGTCTGGAGCCCATCAGGCGTGGGGTCATTGCAATATTTCCATTCTAGCTCAGGTTCAGGTAGATGTTCAGTCTTTTTCAGCATGGTTAAATTATTTTATTTGCTAAATATTTAAGGAGTCCTTATTATAAACTAGGCACAGTTCTTGGTACTGAGGAGGCAGTAAGGAACAAAAATATGTTTTTCAAATATAAGTCATTTTTCTATTTTCATTATGTCTTTGAAGAGATATGGAGTGGTGATTGAGTGGGATTTTAAGGCATGTATCTTGAGGGTTATCTTGACCAGATGATCATCTCTGTCATCTTAATCCAAGGATGCTCTTTTTAACCATTATACTTCCTCACCTTCTACAAAATAAAACAGTATTTTCTAGACTTATCTGATCATATGTTTCATATAACATACATGTTTATGTTTAATAAAACAAATCAGAGGGCCTGAGGAGGCAGTAAGGAACAAACGTACTGATTCAATGTACTGAATCAGAATTTTCAGAGAAAGCGCCTGGAAATGTGTAAGTGTTCATAAAGCTCCTAGATAAGTCTTACAATAGAATGAGCTGGAAAAATATTGTTATAAAGTATGTGGCTACATAAAAAAATTTATCAATCTAGAAAGAAATTAAACCTAGCCTATTAGCCTGAAAGAATGGTGAAAATGGAAGCAATAAAATATTGAAGAAAGATTTGAAATACTGGCTTATCTTCTAGCTTCCTTTCAATCAGTGTACCTAGGTTATAACTTAGTTTTCAGAGGTTTTAATAAGTTCCAGAATATATGACACATCAAATTCAAAGCATGTTAAAAACTAATCTCCAAAGTTAAATAATTGGCTGATTACCCTCCTGAGTCCTCTCATAAATAATAGTAAGATATCTATATAAAAAGGTTGCTCATTATTAAATTAGAAGGAGACTTTAGTTATTTTACGCATATAAAAATGTATAACAAAAATGGATTGGGTGCTTGACATATACTAAAAGACAAATTCTCTGCTGTCATGAATCTTAACAGCATATAAAAGACAATGTATTTGTTTTTAATAATAGAACCACAAAGAGATTTTATATTTATTATACATCTTTATGTTATTTCTAGATTATAGTAGTGTTATAATAGTATTGAAAATAGAATATGGCAACACTGTGGATAGAAGCTAATTCTATGGTGATAAAAGGAGATATACATGGTTATCAATTATTCTAAATCTAATAAATATAATTTTTACAATAACATTTTACAACTTAAAAGATCTTCATTTAAAAAATATCACTTTGGTAAGATTTTAATAGGAGAGCCTTCTTGAATTTGATAACTAGTATTACCATTTCATTTTAAGATATTCAAAATGTAAAAATAGTATTTTACCAATAAGGAACTTGGTAATTTATTAGTATCAGTCAGATTAACAGTATATTCCCTATATCTGCTGATAAACTAGGACTATGCCAAAAAAGAAAATGATACATTTCATATAAACATTCATGACATAACAGAATATTCTCACCTATAGAGTCAGGCAACTGTTGCAACATATTGGATGACAGTAAGAGGTCCTCAAGGGCTTCACATCCAGAAATGTCCAAGTCAACCGTTTCTATTCTGTTTTTTGACATATCCAGGTATACCAACATCTTTAACTTCCCTATAGACTTGATAACATTGCAAAAACTCAGGATTAGTTGAGAAAATTTCACAAGACATTGAAAGTTGTAAAAACCACAACACTGTAAAACTAATTTTAAAAGCAACTACAACAATAACAAGCATTGGCAAGAATGTGGAGAAATCCAATCCTCATACACTGCTAGCAGGGATTTAAAATTGTATAGCCACTTTGAAAAAGTTTGCTAGTACCTCAAAACGTTAAACAAAGAGTTTCCATATGACCCAGCAATCTCTCAGCATATACTCAAGAATGCAATATATGTCTACACAAAAACATAAATGTTCAAAGCAGTATTACTCATAACAGCCAAAAAATGGAAACAACCGAAATGCCTATCGATTGATGAATGGATAAACAAAATGTGGTATATCCACAGGTTGCAATATTATTTTGCAATAAATGCAAATATATGCTACAAAATGGATGAGCCTTGAAAATATATGCGGTGAAAGATGCCAGTTACAAAAAACCATCTGTTGTGTGATTCTATGTATATGAAATGTCCAGACTAGGCAAATCTATAGAGACAGAAAGTAGGTTAGGGTTGTTGGAGGTTGGGGGGGAAGGGGGCATGGGAGTGATTGCTAATGGCTTCAGGGCTTCTTCTGGAGATAATGGAAATATTCTAAAATTAGACTGTGGGGAGTATTCTAAAAGCCACTGAATTGTATATTTTAAATGAGTGAATTTTATGGTATGTGAATTACATCTCAACACAACAATCTCAAAGCTGCAGAAGAATAAATAAATAATAGATAAAGATCACCACCAAAACAGCATATGTTGACATGCTGATTCTTACATTTCAAATGCATAAGAAAGGTTTTAAATCATGATTTGGACTTTATCCTTTTTTTTTTTTTGAAGAGGTTTTTTTTTTTTTTCAAGATTTTATTTATTTTTCAACAGAGAGAGAGATAGCGAGAGAGGGAACACAAGCAGGGGGAGTGGGAGAGGGAGAAGCAGGCTTCCTGCCGAGCAGGGAGCCCGATGTGGGGATTGATCCCAGGACCCTGGAATCATGACCTGAGCCAAAGGCAGACGCTTAACGACTGAGCCACCCAGGCGCCCGATTTGGACTTTATCTTTAAACAGATTCTCTATTTTGTTCATTCAACAGTTCTTTTTGATGATCTACTATGTGTCAGGGCTTGTGTTATACATGGGAGAACAATCATGAATAAGTCAACAAAGTATGAGGAGAGACTTGTCATGATACAGACAAAGTCTTTATCCTTACGGAGCTCATAGTAGTGGAGGAAACTTTCAAATAAACAAATAGTTATAATACCCGATAACTGTGCAAGAAAACAAAGCATGTGGAGAATGCCAGAGAAGCACAGGGCTGCAAAATGTCTGAAAGACACACACTGTCAAGAAAAGCAGAACCTGCACCTGGAAGAGAAAACGACACATACGTTCACAGCAAAATGTGAAAAATCATGGCATGTTTGAGGAAGAGTGGGAAATTCGATTTGTACGATTACAAGAAGCCAGGTGTTAAAAGGCCTTAATGTGTTATGTGAGGAGATGTCAATTCTATCTTATGGGCAAGGAAAGCTGTTCAAGGTTTTTAAGTTGGAGAATGACATGATCAAATTTGTGCTTTAAAATATCAACTTCAGGGGACTGTGGAAGAAAGATTTGTGATGAGAGTGGCAGAGACCCATCACAAGGATCTGGAAATACTGAGGAGATAAGAAGGACCTGAATTAAGGCAGCAGAAATGAGGATGAAGAGGGGATGAGCTCAAGAAAAATTTAGAAGTAGGAGAATTAAATGAGTACCTAATTACTGAGGACAGGGAGGAACAAAGTCATACCGTGAACAGGAGTAACAGGGGGCTGCTTAGCTGGGACATGGACCACAGGAGTCAGAACAAGATGAAAGTCCTCATTTTCATTTTCTTTCAGGGCATGTTTCGCAAATAAATGCCCCACACATATCCGTGTTCACTGGGTCATTTGTTCGTCTAATCTACCTGTGTACACTTTAATATATTGTCTCTAATTATTTGACAGAGTGTAAATAAATAAACATTACACACACAGGCAAACCCTTTGCACTGTGCTAAGTAGTTTATATATCTTTTTTGATTTAATATTTCATATCCTTGCTACTCAAAATGTGTTTTGCAGACCAGCAGCATTGGCACCACCTAGAAGCCTGTCAGGAATGTAGACTCTCAGGCCCACTCCAGACCTACTGAATCAGAATCTGCACTTTAACACACATTAAAACTTAGTAATTAAGTAATGGCACACATTGGATTCCCTGGGAAGCAGAGACAAAGAGAAGTTTATGAGAGAGTGTTCCTAGGACCAGTACCAGTGAAAGACAGAGGGCAGAAAGGAAGCACGACTGGGCAGATGAAGAAGCTGAGTTATGATGAAGTCTTGAGGAAGTCTGCAGCTGGCCCGTCAAGACTCACTAAGTTGGGATTGCCCTGTAGTTGTCCTGAGGAAGGGTGAGGAGCCAGACCTTTATCACTGGTCATTGGGTGGAAGTCTTCCGGAATAAGGATGTGACCCTGGGTAAGGAGGGTCTCTTCAGCTGGAACAATTCCTGAGGAGGGTGGAGAGCTGCAAGTAGCATTCCCAGAAGCTTCGGAAATAGAGTCAGTTCTTCATACCAGGAGGATGATGCATGGCAGCATCTACTACAAGTAACATTCCAAAGTTACCCCATTAATAAGGGGTGGAGCTAAAATTCAAACTCACTTTTCTCAGATTATAGACTACAAAGCCTGTTGATTATCTTGTCAGTTACTGACCTCTAACTCTCTAATTAACCTAGCACATATCTCTAGCCCTGATCCCTCACTCCCTATGGAGGCAGAGAAATGTGAGCAAAGTCTTGGAGTAGATGAATAGTTGCTAATCTAGGAACGGAGTACTTTGGATGACTAGGTCAGAGGGCTGAATTCTCCCCATGCCTGGAAATATGTCACTTGGAAAAATACTGTCACTTTACTTATAGATTTCCACCCTAAGGAGCTATTATGTTACCATGGCTCATTCTTCTCTTCTGGTGAGCAAGAAAAGAATGATATATGTGTTTATGTGTGTGTGTTTCTTTTTTGTTGTTTTATCATGAGAAAATGTCTTTACTCTTTGAAGCCTCCTTCAGTGTTATCTGCAGTACAACTCAATATTTTGGTGTAAAATTTCTAAACATCACTTTTAGAAGGAAAATAACACTTTGGTGTTTATTTTCGAGTCTTTCCAAACCCTCACTTTCAAACACCTTATAAAGGCAATAGTAGCCTGGAGTGATAAAAGCCTTTGAAGTCCAAAGCCTCAGAGTCCTTGGGGATATTGAATCTTGCTCCAACACCCCTTGACATAAAGGAGTCTATAAGTGAGCAGGAGACAGCAAATGAAAGGAGCGGAAGCCATCACAAACAAAAGAAGATATTGAAGTTTGTTTAAGAATAAATACAGGTTCAATGCATTGTTTAGTCACATTTTGATTGATTGATCTTAGAGAGACCATCACAAGACAGCTATGTAGAAGACTAATTTTTCATCATCATCTACTTGCTTCTCTAATTTATGAAAAACAGAGTAGCAAAATGATAGCTCAGGCTTCCAAAAGTATTTTAGAAGTATATTAATTTTTATGTATACATAAATATACATACATATATTTTATAATACATGAACTAAGAATAAGATGAACTTGCTTTTTTTCCAGTGTCTTGTGACAATAAATATTTAGGATTAATCATTCTGTGAAACCGATAGACACGGGCTAGTTAAAGGCCGCATTCAAGATTAGCTTTTCAAAGACATGTGTTTCTAGGTACTTGCATAGCAACTATTTGCTGGCATAGACATTCAGAAAGCCATGCCTCTTTATGGCAAGGAGGTGGGGGGATTCCCACAAGGAATAGAGCAAAATATGAAACTCAAGTGTACTAACTAAAATGAGAAATCTACTTAGAGCAGTGTATAAGAAAAATCTACCCTTGAAACAGACAAATTAGGCAGCATTATCTGTTTCATGGACAGTTTGATCACTACTTTTCCATTTAGATAATAAGCTTACTAAAGAATTTGAGGTCTGAGTTGACTTTCAAGGTTGGATTTTGGGAATGTAATGGCTATGAAAAGTAAGATGAACGTAATTCTCATTTGTGCCTTCCGTTGATTCTATAGCAGTGGCATTTTGGAACATCATAGTGAAAAACAGCTTCTGGTGCTGGTATGAATTATCACTATCTACCTGCTGCATGACCTTGGGCCAGTTACTTACTCTTTCTGTTTTAGTTTCCTAATCCATAACATGGGGATGGTAATAAACCCTACTTCATAGGCTCATTATGAGGATTCATTGAGTAAATATTTGTAAAACACCTAGCATTTATCATGAGCTGGTCATTATCTAGGTGTTTTTGAATTAATAAATATATCAAAGAGGCAGGCATAGATTTTTTCCAACTAGACATACATTCTGATCCTCAACCCCTGCACAAGAAATTGATGAGTGTCTTACCTGTGTTGCCCCAAGATCTGTACATACCTTGAATATGGCACAAATCAAGCTCTCCTATGTGTAGTGGAATCTAGATCTGTCTCTCCTATTATGTGTGAGCTCCTCAAATAAATATATTCAAGGTCATTGAATATATGATCTTTGTAACCCTAACATTAGCATAGTTTCTGGTTCATAGATGTGTATTTGTAAACGGTTTTTTAATAAATCAATATATAAAGGATGAGCATGCTTTTTTGTTTTGTGTCTATGATGACAGTATAAATGTATTCTTTTGATAAGAGAAGAAAGTATTTTTTTCCTTAATCTTTTACCAGATTTTCTCTTTTATGTGGTTTCGTGCTTGTTCAAAAGAGAAAAACTTCTTGTTCTAGTTGCTTTTGCAATCATTTTAAGGAATTTTTAATGTCAAGTCAAAAAAAAAAAGAATAAAACTGGTTTTGGGAACACGCATCTAAATCTCAGTGGCTGAAGAGTTATTACAAATCCAGCTACCCTGTCTACTTAGCCCAGTGTAAGGGGTTTGGAATTGGTTATCACCAATAAGAATATTGTGATTGATGTGTGTGTGTATGTACATGCTTATTTGAGTGCATGTATTATGAGTGGCAAGAGGCAGTGTTCTATGAAGCCTTTCTTTCACTGAATGGAGAGGCAGGAATGTTCACACCCAATGAGCTGACTGGTAAACCTACTACTTGGGAAATATTACTGGATTGTATGTCAGTTGAAAAAAAATGGACTGTAGTTTAACTTTTTATTTTTAACACTTTGTAATTTGTCACATACCATTTTCAAAAATTTAAATGTATTCTATTGGAAATCACCCAAACTGAGAGAAAGATTTTTATTTTGTAGAAGAGCTCTAAGAATATGAGCAGAAGCAATTATCTAGTTTGATTTTGCAAAAATAAGACTTGGATTTTGTATGTAGCATTTTCTTTTTCTATATATAACAATATAAACTTCTCAGCTTTTAAAAATCAGTATGTGGAGAAATGAAAGATATAATCCTGAAAGAACAAGAAAAATCTTTCATACATTTTATATACCTGCATCACTTACAGAAGGTATACGAAAAAAAAAAAACAAACTGTGAAAAACACTTGGTGACCAAACAAATGTTTTACTTTGAAAGGCAAACACTGAGATTTATAAATTAAGATTATTATTAATTACAATTAATATATAACATAGATGCTAGACAACATGTCATAATAAAAACTTACATACCCCAGGTAGCACTTGTAATGCATTATTATCCATCCACAGCTCCCTTAAATTTTGTATTTGATCCAGAACTTCAGGCTAGGAGAGAGATAAGGAGAAAGAGAACAAAATTAGTCTTTTCTTAGCACAATATAAGTGTAATTTCTTGAATCTGGAAACTTTATTTGGGAATCTAATATTAATCCTCTAAGAAGTCCTAAGTTTAACAGACCTCTATCAAAACTGGTAGTCCTTGAGCTAGCAAACCTAGAGCTGATCTGGAAACAATCAGAAAAACAATAATAAAAATTAAAATCTATTACTCTCTCTTAACACCCTACAATCATCCTTTATAGCATTTATTACACCCTAATTACTCAGTGTGTTTGTCTTCACTAGAACATAAACTTCTGAAGGGCAGAGCAGTGTTTGTTTTTTAATTACTTTTTAATTACTATGCCATGGTACTTGGCACACAGTAGGTTTTTATGTGTGTGTAGTAAAACCTTACACGCATATCCCCCATAGGCATTACATTACAGTGAAATGATGATAGTATGAATTAGACCCACTTATTTCTTATCCCTTCACTTATTCGACAAATTATTATTGGTTGAATAGTGGGGATGTCTAGTATGTGAAAGGCACAAGGCAAGATCCACAGTTAATTCAAACCTGGTTCCTGCCTTGAAGTAGCTGATGATTTACGTGAGGAGACAGATACATATAAATAACTGAAACAGAAGACAACATATGGGAGAAAAGAATAATGTAGAAGAGTTCAAAGAAAGGAGAGAGAGAATATGATCAAGGTGTAACACACAGTGCATAATGAAACATCTAAGTCCCTAAATTGAAGTTGTCTCTAAATTCCACCTGTGGGCAGCAGACAGTATAGAGAGGATAAAGGAAGCTATTGCTACCAGCATCATCTCTTGATTTGTGATGACTTTTTCTGATTTCTCTCCAAAAATTTTCCCATTCAGCAACTTAAGCCCACCTGCTTCCCTTGAAGTTGATTCCTTTTTGTCACTTCAGGAAAGTGAGGAACTCCTAAGCTAATTAGTGCATTGTATTCACCTAGCCACAGGGGTTGGCTCAAGGATGGGAACAGGATCCATTCAGAGCAGAGGAGAAGCACGTTTCTTTCACTGAGACTTCAGGGGAAGAAACTCTTGTTCTTCCCTGCTGGATTAGAAACTGGGATCTTCAGGCATGATAAACAGGGAAGAGCCTGTTTGAGTTAAAAGATGGATCCTGATAACATATTAGGCTGAAATTAAGCCACACCTGAAAGTCAGATGCTTTGTCTCTTTCAACTGAAAAAAAAAAAATCACTGAAACAAGATACAACCATAGTTCAATAAAATTTGAGACCCACTTAGGAAAACCAGTGTATTTTATAGAATAATAGTGGAAAAGAATGGAATTGTTTCTAAGTTATGATGAGAATATTGGTAATTGTGGGTCAGCAGAAGTCATATACACACATCTTTGACACATTTGGAGGGCTTCAGAGATGGCCAGGACTACTTGGGAGAGAGTCTCTGATGCTTTTAGACTGCAATTGCAATGGAACATGGTACTATTCTTTGGAGAAATTTCAGTTATAACAAGGATGAATGGATAAAGAAGAGTGGTAATATATATATACAATGGGAATATTACACAGCCATCAAAGAATGAAATCTTGCCATTTGCAATGATGTGGATGGAACTAGAGGGTGTTATGCCAAGTGAAATAAGTCAATCAGAGAAAAACAATTATCATATGATCTCACTGATATGTGGAATTTAAGAAACAGGGCAGAGGATCATAGGGGAAGAGAGGAAAAAATGAAACAAAAAGAAACCAGAGAGGGAGACAAACCATAAGGGACTCTTAATCATAGGAAACAAACTGAGGGTTGTTGGAGCGGAGGGGGGGTGGAGGGATGGGGTAACTGGGTGATGGGCACTGGGGAGGGTATGTGTTGTAATGAGCACTGGGTATTATATAAGACTGATGAATCACAGACCTGTACCCCTGAAACAAATAATACATCATATGTTAATTCATTGAATTTAAATTTAACAAAGTTAAAAAAAAATCTCTCAATAAACACAGAAAAAAACCCAAGGATCAAAATCTAAAGTTAGAGCATGGCATTCAGCTGTAGACTCAGAGGCATGTGTGAATAAGTGTGGGGGATTTTTTTGTGTAGGAAAATATTCTCACTTTTACTTAGATGAACTACTCTACCTGTATGTTAAGCTGAGTAAGAATGGAAAACAAATCAAATGTACAAAGCACACTCTGATATGCAGAGACTTTGAGGCAGAGGGCTGGCTAGGAACAGTCAGGCCAGTTGGAAAATATCAGTCATATGGCACAGATTTTCCTAAGCCTATGAATCATGCAGACTTTAGGAAAATGAGTTGCATACTGGTAACTTCAATACAACCTTATGTATGTAATAAGATGGATATTAATTTATAAATGTGGAACAATGAGCATTATTTAAGATAAACTCGATTGTGCTGTGGTAACAAATTAATTCTGAAATCTCAGTGGCTTAACACCAAACAGGCTTACTTCCCACTCCCACTACTTGTCCAGTGTCATGGGCTTTTGCCCCCAGAGTCTTGTGTTGCCACCATCTCAAGACTTCCAGAACTGCCAAAGCAGAGAAGAGAGTATAGAAAACCAGCCACTGTTCTTAAAGATCTCAGATGGGAAGTGACCCTATCACTTGTGCTTATAGCTCCGTGTCTAGAACTGTTTACAAGGCCTCAACCTAAGTTCAAGAAAGGCTGGGAAATATAAGAGAAATTCTTGGAGTATTCGGTGAACACTACTGTCCATGCCACACAGTGACATCATATAAAAAAAAGAATCACAAGAATGGATACAGAGTACTTTAATAATTTAGTTATCCCTTTATTCAGTAAGTATTTATTAAACATCTCCTCAGTTCCAGGCATAACACTAGAGTCATAATGCATGGTGTGGTCTCTGCCCTCAAGAAACTCATGTTCTATTCCTGGGGCAAACATAGAAAAAGTAAATACATGGTATTTTGGGAATATAAAGAAAGGGGGACCTACATGCCCTAGTAATGAGGAAGCCACATAAGAATTCATGAAGCCACATACGTATTCATGAGAAGGAGTTGGTCAGTAGAGAGGAGAGGACAAGAAGCACCTTTTAGCCAGAAGTAGAAGTGAGAAATAGCATGATATATGAGTGGCAACAGGCAGTTTGCTTTACTGAGCATTGTTTGAAATAGAGTGAATAGCAGAAGATGAGGCTAACAAAAGAGGGTGGGGTCTATGAAGTCCCCATATTTTGTTAGGGAGTTGGAACTTTATTATAAGGGTAAAGGAACATCACTATACTATTTTTTATTATTATGTTAATCACCATATATTACACTATACTATTTTTAATAGGAAGTGATTGTGGCAGATTGGTGTTTTATGTATATCTATCCTGGAGGAAAAAAGAAAGGAAAAAAAAACTGGAAAACTTAATGGGGCTAGTAATGAAAGAGATAATGAGGAATAAAGAGAAGAAGTTGGATACAGGAAATGTTTAGAAGATGAAAACAGTAGGACTTGGTGATTTGATATAGGGGTGAGAGTGAGGGTCATGCGTGTCTCCCAGTTTCCTAGCACCTGTGGTGCCACCAATGGAGATTCAGAATATCGAGATAGAAACAAATATATGGGAGAAACTGAATTCAGTTTTGACCATGATTAGCTTTAGGTTCCTATGAGACACTGGTGGACATGTGCAGGAATTGGTTAACTATTAAAATCTATTAAAATCTGAAGCTTAGGGAATAGGTCTGAGCTGAGGATACAACTTAGGTATCTTGTGGGAGTAGAAACACATGTGAATGAGTTCCCTGTGGGGGAATGGGAAGGAATCAGAGGTGCAGCTGACTGAGGGAGGAACCCTGGGGAACACTAACGTTTGAGAGCTAAAAACAGGAAGAGCAAACGCAAAAGGCAAGAAGGAATAGAGTCCAGGAGAGTAAGGGATTACTAAAGTCCAGTGAATAGTGTTTGTAGTAAGAATAAGGAAGTGAATACAAGTATCATTTACAGCAGAGATGTCTAGTGAAATAAGAGACTGAAGATGTCTACTCGATTTTGGAACTAGTCGTATACCGGTAACCTTAGCGATAGAAATCGAGGAACTAGGATGAAATCGAGGGAGTCAAGCTGATAAAAAGACACTAGCAAAGAGGGCCAGACTGAAGACAGATAAAATGCTATAAAATTAACTGAGTAAATTCTAAGAGGTGACAAATAAGATGAAATTGATAGAACAAGAGAAGCTGGCCTTGAACAGAAATAGGACACCTCTTTCACTGAGACTGAAGGGAAGATGGTAAGGATAGTTGTAGGTGAGCTTGATGATTGGAAGAGAGTAAGTGGAGAAAGGGCATGTCTGAAAGTCTCAACATGTCTTGATGAAGTAAGGAGCAAGGTAATCTGTTGAGCAGGAAGGGTCAAGAATTTTGTACACATAGAGCACATGGGGAGAATGGCACATACTAGCATAGTTTGAGGGGAGTCAAAGAGGAAGTTAAGGGCAATCAAAAAGAGCTCTATCAATGATAATTATTTTAACTTTTGGGGGGGCCAGGTGGGAGACTGACAGTCTAGGAAAAAACAGAGGCAGCAAGAGATTTCAGGTTTCCATGAGGTCAGCAAGAAGTGGTGTAGAAGTGAGGGACTGAGAGAACTAGAGTGTGAAAAATTCAAATGAGAGCAGAAGTTAAGAGTTTAAGATTTCTGAAGTGGTTCCAGGCAATGACAGACTTGAAGCTGGAACTCTGGGCAGTATGAAGTGTTGGTGTGTGGGCAGGGGAGGATGCTGTGGGAACAAAAGGCCTCACATCGTCTCTAAAAATTTGGGTAGGGTTTGATGCACTGTATAATGTGCTCCCTTGGCTGTACCAGAGAAGGTGGCAGATAAAGCTGACCAATTATGCCTGTAAAATAGCTCGCACACTGGGTTCTACTGGGAACCTAGACTTAGAAAGGGATAACTAATGGCAACCTATATTTCTACTTTATGTCAAAGGTTCTCATTTAATTTATTTAAT